GAGATATAGCACAGCTGGCTAAACTGGCCCATTCAAGCCATGTCATGCTTGCTTGGATCATGGCTAGGTTAGTGGCAAGCTTTGTTAGCTATTGAGTTGGAACATGCTACTATTGCCTACTGAAAGGGCCATACTATGGTCATGGAGAGTTACCTAGCTTTTCCTTCACCAATGGATTCTTGCCACTGCCATCTACCAATTCATCTATCCGGCGAGTAAGAGAATGTTGTTGCTGGTGCGAGATTACTACCTATTTTGGGGCTAGTGCCGGATGTCCGGATGTAGGACTCGTCCGGACGCTGCTCCCGCACCTACGCCCGCATCGCATCCCACGCCCCCTGCACCCGTATCGCATCCCACGCCCCCTTGCACCCGCATCGCATCCCATCCCCCCCCGCCCCTACATCCCATCCCACGCCCTGCATCCAAACGCAGCAAACTCGACGACTCACACTCCAACGCTAATGCCGAGGCGAGATGGAGGGAAGGGGGGAATCGGAGGGGAGGAGAGGAGAAGGCGAGGCCCTATGGCAGGCTGCTGTCCACCAGCTACCGGCGCCATTGAAACATGTGTAACATCCGATCTACTTTTGAAACATCCCCATGCAACATTTGCAACATACATCTGAAGAAGATGAAATATTTGAAACACCCAAAAACACATGAAAAGCCATTGTAAAACATACACAACATCTAGGTAAAACACTTGCAACATACGTGTCAAATATATGCAACATCCAAATAAACACATTTGCAACATATGTCTGGAAAACAGATGAAACATTAGTAACAAAAGCTTGCAACATACGTCTACAACCATTGCAACATCCATGTGAAACACTTGCAACATACCTATAAAACATCTGAAACACTTGAAACATAAGGCTTGCAACATACGTTTTTCACTCTTCTTCCGCGACGCAGCGCAGAGCAGGGGAACGGCCGATTTCGGCCAGCTGATGGCCGATGATGGTGGTGCAGCCTGGCAGCGGCCAGCTACGCCTGCCCCTGGCCTACGCCAAGCTAGTGACAGCCGCCTCTCCTGGCCTGGGCGCGAAAGGGACGGAGGTGTCGCGGGGGATGGGGTGCGCTGCGGTTGATGGTGGTGGCAGCGCGCAAGAGTGGGCCATGGTGCGAGATGGAGGCATTGCAGGGGATGGTGGCGTGGAGTGGGGAGATGAGGGCAGAATGGGAAGATTTGATTTTTTTTTCCACGGTCGGACGCCTAAGTGTGAGCATTAGTATAAGATCCCAACGTGCCCATCTAAAATTCTAAATGGTGGTTAATTTTGTAACCCTTTCCTTTTTATGAGGCAAAACTCTAACGTCCAACTCTTCAATAAGTGTTTTTACATATGAAAAAACGAACAAATAGCATGAATCTTCCATAAATGTAGGCCTTTTATCTGGATCAATTCCCCAATTCCTCATTCTCGAACTGTGGGCCATTCCTTCCCAGACTAGGAGGGCATGCTTACCCTGAAGAAGCCGGGCCAATCGACGCCCCGGGGCTCGCCCTTCTTCCCCACGTCGGCAGCCCCCTCCACTGCGCTCCAGTCGCACATCTCGCCGCCCTGAGTCGGATCACCTCCCGTTTTCTCCATCCCCTCTCGCTGCCCTGAACTTTGATCCCCTTGAGGCAGTCACTGCTTCTTGCGACCGGAGCGACTAAAGAGCAATCTGACAGCACCACGGCTCGATCAGATCCTGGGTGAAGGTCGAAGGCAACGGCACGGCCGAGCACTAGTAGTCAGTAGTACGGCCGGAAGGATGCGCACGCTCGAGTAGCAAAACAGCACAGCGATTGCCTCTGTGGACTCACGGCAGGGACAGAACAGTGCTGTCGTGCTGAATCGCGAATGACGTTGGCCCCTTCGTCGCCGAGTTCGTACTGCATTCAGTGTGGGGTGATCAAGCCCCTCGCCGGCGCGCGCCCGCAGAAGTTGTGCAGCACGCAGCAGGCGGCGAGATCATGCAGGGGGAAGGGACCTGCAATTGGAGTGGCACTGCAGGCATAAATCTTTATGCAGGCAGCGCCTCCGCGCCACCAGACTGCGCTCCGCACGCGCGGGGCCGCAAGCGATCATTGAACTTGGGCCATGCCATCTGAGACACTAGGACCATGCCATGCCTAAGATTTCGGTGCATGATCCGGTCCGAATTTTGGCTTGAGTTTGGCCGGCAAAAGTGGCATATAAATACATCTATACAACACTAAGATACAATTTTTTATACTACTTCTAATCTAATTTTTGAATGGACTATGAAAATCAATTTTTGTGAATATGATACATAGCAAATATAGTTTTTATGTCACGAAGCGGACAACGAAAACTAACAAAGATATTTTGAAGGTCATGTTTGAGTGGGCATGACACAAAGACGAGCCGGCGTGCTATGGTTTGTGCTTGGACCGAAGAGAAGACTTATCGTGTCATACAGCACGACCCAAAGTACCTCACATGCCTAGAGGCCACATCCAAAGCGGCATGAAGCACGAGAAGACCGTGTTGTGCTCGCTTTGAAGCACAAGAGGGCCGTGCCGTGCTAGCACAACACAACACAAGTCTCATCTCTACTCAGTGCCGCATGGGCATCTAGTTATATGGACAGAATTGAGTCTGGCTTTCATTGAACTAGATGATACACCACGTGTTGCTGCATAAATTTTATCGCGTTGACTCGAGACCAAAATAATAAAATTATGTAAGAAAATATATTGTTTTTGTGAGTTTTTTATTATTCTTTTACATCTAGCAATAAGTGCAGTGCAAGTCTTTTCCATGCAGCAACTGCAGTGAATTAGTACATGGCGTTATACTCATTTAATGTTTTGCCACGTAGAACAAATTGTTGATGTGGCATAGGAATAAAAAGGAGAGAGAAAAAAAACAATGTGCTATGTATTGGTTTTACACTTTTCGTTGGACACCGTAATGGTGTGTGATACTATACACTAGAGAAGTTATAACAGTGTCATACAAGCACGGAAGTTTATTTGATCCCAAGTGTAGCTGTATCATGCTCAATCCATCCCGGACGTTTGACCTTTTTGAAACTAAGTTTGACCACTTGTCTTATTCAAAAATCTGTGCAAAATATCATTTCTTTTGTCGTGGCTTGGTTTATTAATAAAAGTTCTTCAAGAATGACTTAAATTTGACTATGTTTACACAAATTTTTTTAAATAAGACAAGTGGTTAAACTTGGTGTTAAAAAAGTCAAACGTTTTACAATTTGGTATAGAGGGAGTACCATGTACCCTACGTGACAGTCTTGGATTTTGGAGTACGATATCAGACTAGCCTGAACTACAGACGGCGCGAAGAACCGTCTCTAGTCTCATGAAATCCATTTTCGTTTCTCCTGAGCTCGGCTGCCGCCATCGCAGGTCGTCGCCTCTGTCTCCGTGGTTGGGGCCTCTCTGCTGCTCCGCCTTGCCGGTGTGTAAGGCCTTCTTCGAGCGGGCAGCTTCTTCCCCTTCTCCGAGCTGCTGGTGGCTGGAGCACTTGGTGCTCTTCGACGCTAGATCTACTTCCCCCTCAGGCCGTCACCAGCTTTCGCCTCTTCACTGCCTCCCTGTACCCCCTACAGCTAAAGCAAGGTGAAACAAACCTGCATCCCTCCGGTAGCTGCGTTTGGCCTCTAATGTCAATGCATGAGCCACCGGGCAAACAAACATGATCTCATATTGATAGTTATGGTACTTGATGGTTGGGACGTGTGCTGCAGCCAAACAAACTTGAACTCTGCACAACTAGGGCCAACTGGCTATGAAACAATCATGCCTCTTTGCACAAATTCCTGCATGATCTGGTCGACAGTTGCTAATTCCTGCATGATCCCACTTGCGTGAAACTTTGGATGCAACAACAGCTCCGCAGAACAAGCCGCTCAAGGCAGTTCGATCCTCTTGACCTTGAATGTACTCCAAACAATAGGCTATTTCATCTCCTAATCCTAAAACAGTTGGTCAATGCAACGGAAGATAACATACAATATTAAAAGGTCTCCTGAGAGCATTCCGAAGATACTTATTTATTAAGAGTAGCATGCTACAAATAGCTCAACCTCGACTCAAATGGTTTCTCAGTGCCACTCAAATATGCTTTCTTCTTCAGTGTCTTAACAACATGAACTAACAAGCTGAGTTCCTGGGTACATAACATAATTACTAGAAGGGCTATTGCTTGCGAAATATACATTCAGCCACAAGGAAGTGCAATGGACTGTGATGTTTCACCCCAGCACTTTTCGTTTAGTTGCCCACGGAGGGGGCGTGATAAGTTTCTTCAAGACACCTGGCTTATCAAGGCCCTAAGGACAACAAATACACAAGCAGGAACTAGAATCAATCCAGAAACAAAAATATTTTACTACAAATGGTACCATACGGCACAAGATATGACATTACCTTGAACATCTGCCTTAGCTCAGCTTCCCTAGCTTTCACCTGTAAAAGTGGGGGAGAACACGTGTAATTGAAACTGAAGCAACAAAAATGTTGAAAATAAGTCATCATACATATTTATCATCATCCTCCTCATCCTCATAGTCCCTCTTCCACTTTCCATAGTATCCAGATGGCAAACCCACATTCAAGTGACCAGCAGTGTATCCAACAGAACTGCTAGGGTGCTTCATACCAACATCTCCATCTCTGGTGCAACCATAGCATTGACCTTTATTAACAAAAAAAAAAAGAAGTTAACTGCAAAGGAACCAACCTAGCACAAACACACAATAATGTTAAAGGTAATAAAAAGTCATTACACAACCATTGTTCTGCATTAACCAGTTTGACATTATAAATAATAAAAAGCTCCAGGACAACGAAGGTGGCACACATGGAACAGGGGCAAACAAACAGTTCAACACATTAAAGATCATATGCTAACAGCCAGAGATACATTACAATTACAGGCAGATAAGTTGAAGTTAGTGCGACCAAATAACTGAATTTGAACAGTACTTAATTTACGATAAAGAGTATGTAATACCATTGTCATTCAGATTAACTCTGCAGAAACAGTTAGCCAGCAGTTCTGTAAACTTTGCTTGTGGCATACATTTCACTTCCACAAAGAAAAGATTGTCCAGGTTACATTCATTTGGACCAGCCCCTTTAATCTTTGTAGTGAAATTGAGATGATAGTACCATTTCTGCTTCTCACAAATTGAGTTGTAGTGTAAAACGTCTTTGAGTTCGTGTGCAAGACCCTGAAATAAGAAGCATGGGTCAGATCAGCAATTGTTACATTAACAAGGCAATAAGACACAGCGCAACAATGGTAACAAGACACACAATGAGGGCAGAAGGGAGAGCAAACCTCCAAAAGATTATGATCCTCATTATACTTGTCCACTAAAGCTTGAACCATTTGACACATTTCGGATTTCTCAGTTACAGGTCCTCTTGTACGCCTCTTGATTGTGCCATCAGGCCAGTAAAGACGTCGTATTATAGCCTTATCTTCCTCCGCACACCTAATTTAGATGAGAACATTCTATCTCATCAGTAGATTGCACTTTCCCAAAAGTGGAGAACACAAAGCAATACCATGTACTCCCTCCCCATCCAAAAAATAAGCTATTCTAGGCTTTTAGCTTTGTCCTAAGTCAAACTCTTAAGTTTGACCAACTTTATAGAGAAGAGTATCAATAATTATGAAACCAAATAGGTATACCATGAAAATATGTTTCATGATTAATCCAATAGTACTTACTTGGTGTGACAAATATCACTACTTTTCTATATGAAATGGTCCGACTTAAAATGGTTCGACTTAGGACAAAGCTAGAATTGCATTCTTTTGGGGACAAAGGGAGTACTAGGTTCACTAGTTTGCAAAGAAGGTTGTTGACTAGGACCAACCTCACATAGCTCATGGTAGTAAATAACAACAGCAACAGCAAAATGATACAAGATTGTTCATATGCAGACATGCCTACAAATTCTCAAGTGCAATATACCTTCTTTTAAGGGAAAAATGTATCCCACTGCAATTTTCAGATGGCCCAACTAATTGTGCTCCCATCACACTATTCACACTATTTTGATCAGTTAACAGAACATATTGTTTGCCTATAACCACTTTGTTTAGTACATGAGGAAACATTGTTGTATGGTACCACCGTTCTTTAGCTGGCTGAAGGTTAACTAATTGTACGGGTTACAATTCAGATAATACAAATCAACATTTGAACAAAGTGGTATGTGGTACACTGGTACTATAGCATCTATGTTTGCTTTGTCAAAGCAAAGCTGTAGTATGATCTTTTGCACTATTTCAACAACTGTCAAATAAAGTTACAAAATGCTCACGTTAACTTTAGGTGGTCCCAAAAGAGGAATTCTAAGACAAAGAAATATATGCTGATACTTTTCAATCTTAGATTAACTTACTTTGGCCATAGTTCTTTTTTATTTTATTTTTAAAAAAACTGTGATTATCTACTGTGACCTACGCCATTGAAGAATGTGGTTACATAGCTTTTTTTTAAATATAATCAGCTGCAAGCATGCATGCATAATAGGGGAAAATCCAAATCTGTAACGCAGGTGAGACAACTTACATCTTCGGATCCCGGAGGTCCTCGAGATAGCGATCAATAGCCCCGTAGGTTTCCGGCAAGCTCTGAAATGGCCCACCCACATCAGGATATGTATGGAAACATCCCTGACGATCGAGCCTGGTATAAAATAGCCGTCCCCACTTACGCCACAGGCGCTCCCATATGCATGACACAGGAGGCGAGGATAGTTCCGACACCTGAACTAATGCCTCAGACTGCGTCTGTGCAGCCTCACGCTCCTTGTCTTCTCGGCACCTAACATATTATCATCGTGTTTATCGAAAGTTGATAGAACAAAGAGAAAGGCTGACAGAGGCCAGAAATCCCACTGAAACATAGGAATCTATCTAATCAAAACGATAAACAAGAGGAACTATTCGATTTCGATCCAGGCAACCGATAAACAAATCTGTCTAATATAAACAATAAACAAGAGGAACTATTTGATTTCGATCCAGGCAACCGATAAACAAGAGGAACTATTCAATTTCGATACATCTATCTTGCCAAAATAGAAGACGCATGATGAGGGGAAACGGACATACGACGAGCGGGAGCATTCTTCACCAGGCTCTTGACCGCGGAGGCGGCGGCTTCGGCGGTGGGGAGGCATGGGGGCGGTGGAGAGCGAGATGGGGGCTAGGGTTTCGCGATCTCCTGGGGACGGGGACGCCGGGAGCCCGGGACGGATCGAGAGAGGCGACCACCTCGGCGCGAGCGGGATCTCCGGCGAGGGAGGCGCCGGGAGCGGGCGCAGACAACCTCCTCCGCTCGGACGCGGAAGGGAGTTCGGCGAGGGAGAGGCCTACTCGTGCTCGGCCTGGGATGCGGGAGGGCCGAACTCGGGTCCGAGTTGCGGGCGAGAGATTGATGACGGAAAAGGAAGTGACGGTGGAGGGAACACCTTTTAGCACAAAAAAAAAACTAATATTCTATATAATAATATAATATAACATGTAGCTAAGGTCCCGTTGGTTACCTGTGGATTTTTATAATCTCAATAAAAAAACTTTTATTGGATTTCATGTCCGTGAACCGCCGGTTTAATCCGGTTGAAATATAACGAGGAACGCTACTCAAACACAATTGAAGTTGTGGCTCATTAGTGGAGATCTTATACCGATTTCTATGAAACACCGTTGGCACCGGTTTTATACGGTTAACGGTTCGATTGCTTACCGGTTGTAAGGAAAATGGACCCTTGGTTCATTTACTTTGGATTTTGGTGTTTGATGACCAACACAACCAAATTGGGCTAATGAATTTGCAAGTGTTTGTTTTGTAGTCCAATAGGGTGTAAGGCGTGACTTGGACGAAGGTGACGTGATGATCTGATGATCTTCACTTGCATAGTGCTTAGTGTTTCATCATGTGATTAGCGTAGGTGCTTTGCGAAGTGCTTATGTTGATTAGACCACCGCTTATGCGCTTGCTCTAGGTGTATGCCTAGTGTTTAGTGAGGTTTGCATACATCTTGCCATCCCGTGCTTGCGAGCACAAGAGTTATACATCGGAGGGGCTTGAAGTCTTGCGAGATCGCACCAACCGCGTTTGTGGTACGGCCGCCACCGTGTACCGAAGGGAACAAGGCCCGCGGCGTTTCGGCCGAAAGCTTGATAGTGAAGACGGCGGGGAGCATCCGGGAGAGGCTTGCCGGAAGGCACATCGGAGACCCACTTGCGCGTGGGGAAGGCCCGAGGCTATCCACGGAGTTACCCGACCGGGAGCTTGGCCCTTGCGAGGGATTCCTTGCGAGGGGCTCCAACGAGGACTAAGGGGAAGCTTGCGCGCTTCTCGATACCTCGGTAAAAATACCGGAGTCATCGACGGGAGTTTGCATATTTCTACCTTGCTCTTTAAGCTTCCGCATTTACATTGATCATATTATTATCATTTGCGGTAGAGATAACAACACACTACCAAAATCGTAGTTGCACATCTAGATAGATTATCTTTTACATAGGTTTTGCTAGAGGTAGAAAAAGAGACCATAGTTTAGAGTTAGATTTTTTAAGTTGCCTAATTCACCCCCCCCCCTCTTAGGCGTCCTCGCGTCCAACAAGTGGTATCAGAGCCGGTTGGCTCATATTTGGACCTTTGGCTTAACCGCCGTTGAGCCGACGCTATTTAGAGTGGTTGGGATAGATACCGCTAGGCCTCCGCATTTTGATGGCACTAACTTCCCGTACTATAAAACTAGAATGGCTTGTCACCTTGAGGCGGTTGATTTGGGTGTATGGAGAGTCACTCGTGACGGGATGAAACCCATCAAGAATCCCAAAAAACCCACAAAGAGTGATGAAAAAGAAATGCACTTCAATGCTAGAGCTAAAAATTGCTTGTTTGAATCACTTAGTATGGATGTTTTTAACCAAGTATTCACTTTAAATACGGTACATAAAATTTGGTTAAAACTCCAAGAGCTCCATGACGGCACAAGCAATGTCCATGAGCAAAAACATTGTCTAGCAAAGCAAAACTATGATTCCTTTACTATGAATGATGATGAGCTTATTCGTGATATGTATTCTCGTTTGAATCTAATTATCAATGAGCTCCATTCTATAGGATTATTAAAGCTAGATGATGCGGACATCATGAGGAAGATCATCTCCGTACTACCACAAAAGAAATATGCAAGCATCATCACCATCCTTCACAACATGGAGGACTTGAGCAACATGACCCCGGGCATAGTCATTGGCAAGTTAGTGGCATTTGAAATGTCACGTAAGATGGGTCAAGAAGAAGCCTCTTCATCAAGCAAAGGCAAAGCTCTCGCATATAGCGAGAAAAAGAAGATGAAGGGCAAGAAAGTTGAGACAAGCTCAAGCTCAAGTTCCTCAAGTGAAGATGAAGATGAGGATGATGATGATGAAGAAGAAGAATCAAGTGATGATCAATCTTCCTCCTCCACCTCCGACCTTGATGAAGAATCAATCAAAATTATCAACAAGGTGGAGAAGATGATCCAAAAGCTCAATGTCAAGGGTGTGCCTATCCAAATCCAAGACCTCGTTTTCACCAATCAAAGAAACGAGCAAAGAAAGAGAGGATGTTATGGATGTGGCGAGGTGGGGCACTTTGTGGAAGTTTGTCCAAACAAGCCCACATCCAAAACAAAGAAGAAGGCGTGTAAGAATAAAGCCCTCACATCAATAAGATCATGGGATGATTCTTCAAGTGAAGAAGACCATCATAAGAGGCGAGGGCGCAAGCACTCATCATCTAGCTCTTCACGTATGTGCCTTATGGCACGAGGTAATGAAAGCTCTTCCTCTAGTGAGAGTGATAGTGATGATGATATGTCTTCGTATCATGAGATTGTGCAACAAAATCTTAAATATGCTAAAGTTTGCACTAGTCAACAAAATAAGCTCAAAAGTTTAAAAGAAAAGCTAGATAGTTCACAAGAAGCATACAAAACTTTGCTTGAATAATATGAGAACTTTGCTAATCTCAATGTTGAACTATCTACTAAAATTGAGCAACTTAAGACTAGTGCAACATCAAATGAATGCACAATCAATGATGAGCAACTTGCAAAGAAAAATGAAAAATTAAAAGAAAAGTTAGCTAGTTCATAAGATGCTTATAAAAGTTTGCTTGCTAAAATGGAAACCATGTGCAAACATTGTGATGAGCTAACTAATAAAGTTGCTAATCTTGAAGCCGTTAATTCAACCCTCACCAAGGCATCTAAAAAGAAAAATTCCTCGATTAACATGTCAAAAACGGATGTCTCTACTTCTTGTGATGACTTATGTTTAGACTCACCTTTATGCAACCAAGCTTGTGTTGAGAAAGTTGTTGTAGATACATGCACACAAGAGGTTGCAAAGGAAAATGAGCAACTCAAGCAAGAAGTAGCTCGCCTCACCAAGGACTTGACTCAAGTAAAAGGAAAGGCG